CCGCCTGTAAGGCACGATGGCCCCGCGTCCCAAGAGGGTGCCATGCAAGCCCGCAACACTGGAGTACTTGCTCTGGTTCACCCGGTCCGGGAGGGGGGGGGGGCCGTAACACACACGGGGGGGGGACAGCCACCCGCCCTAAAACTACCCCTGTCGCTGGACTAACTATGGAAATTGCTCAACGACCAGTACGCAACCAATAATATTATGACAGCAAGTCATGCACCACGTTATTGATTTATTGGAGTAATTTCTCAGCTCACTGAATGTCCGCCCTGCCTGCCATAGTACAAAATCACATTCAATCCGGCAGGATTCAGCGTCCTCGTCGCGATCAGGAGAGGGGCCTCCTCGGTCCAGGCGGACGCCCTCCCCACGACTCACTTACGCCCACCCGTTGGTTCCCCGAATAATGTACCTGTTCAGCTGCTGGCGCTGTTGCTGCCGGGGCGGCGGCGGTCTGTGCGCGCCTGCCGCGGCTACTGCTGCAGCTGTCACCGCGGCCGCAGCCGCAGCGAAGAATGTACGGCTGGCTCTGGGGCAGGCTGCTGCTGCTGCAGCTCTGGTCGGACATAACCTCAAAGCCGTCCGCTGGACCCCGACATCGCAGAGGCTCGGCGGTGCGGGCGCGCCCGTCCCGCTGGACCACAAGCACCGACACGGTCTCCAACGCCCATCCCGCACCGACAGGACACCCGACGACGGCGGCCGCCTCACAAATCGGCAGAAACACACTGCTTCTGTGCCTCTCTCTTGGTCACCATCGATGCACAACTTGAGGCGACAAAACCTCTCGCGAGGCCGTCCGGGCCGAAAGGAGCACAGGCGCAAGCGACGCCGACCTCGCCCACGGTTGAACAAGGTACCTGGGGCCCTGTCCGCGCTCAAACCACCAGCAGGTGAAACAAAAACAAACAGTCTTGGTGCGCGCGACTCGAGCGGCGCTCCGCTCGTCGTGCTTCGGTCCGGTCGGCCGCCAGCCGTTCACTGAATGGCCGCGCGCCCGCGCCGCGAGAGTGCGCTGCGGAGGAGGGGGGAGGGTAGGGTAGGGAGAGGAGGGAGGGGGAGGGCGCGGAGCGGCTCGGCACGGCGCGGCCACGTGGCGCGGGGGAGTGCCAGGATTCGAGCGGGGCCGAGGCCGTGCCGTGCCGAACGGGGTTGTGGAGTCTAAGCCCCGCACGTCACCAGCCCCGTTCAGGCTCGAGAGAAGAACACGGATAATCCAAGTTGAAAACGCCAACCATCATAGCGAGCTTTTCCAATGATGCAGAGTGAAAAAGACTCGTCTCGAGTTCGCCACTTTAACCGGATCGAACAATTACGGAACAATAATTCATTTGAACCATCCGTCATCCGCCAAATCGCTTCGAAACTACTTATCACTCCCTACATTCTCGTGGTATTGTGATTCTCCCTTTGTGACGTGGGGCCTGCGACTACCTGCGTCCCCCATGGCTTCCCAGGTAGCAAAATATAGCAAACTGCATTCGAACCGCATTATATGTCCCATCTGAAACGCGCATTTAAGTGCATATTAGGCGCCTACACACGTTCTCGGCGCAGTTTAGATTGGACACAAAATGCACATTTTATGCAGCTCTGCTACCTTGGTTGCAGCAATAGCGTCGTCCTTATGATGAGTGGAGGGGTGGGATATAACGACATGAGCCCGGATTGCACTAGACATGAGCCCGAGCCGCTGCTGGGCGGGGGTCACAACTTTTTGCAATCCGGGCTCATGTCCGGGCTCAAGTCACCGGGCTCAACCTCAGGCGGGCTCAAGTCGTTATAACCGAGGGGCGGAGGATATAGTGCTCCGCGGCGGCGCCGCGGCGGCCTCGATGCGTTCGGGGCTGAACTTGGCCGCATCGGCCGCATCTTAAAATAATCGTCAAAGCTTGCGAGTGATGGCGGTAGGGCCCGCGTTCTCATCAATGATTCTCAACCCCCTGATTATTGTCCTCGGCTAACAGACAGACTTCAACATGAGCTGCCCGCCCTTGGAGTGAGCAGGCATAAATACAGCTGATGCTTTCAAGTCTGCCGCCACTTTGCTGCGCGCTGCGTCAGGCTAAGCTAAGCGTTTCTTTGTAACGGAAACGAAGAAAACAGAGTCGGATCGGCCAGACTGGCGCGCGGCGTCGTGGCCAGGAGGAGGCGGTCGTACGAATGGATGACCTTCATGAGAAAAGTCAACGATTTGCTTATTCGACACACGCATTCTCGGATATCCGCCTGTCCGCCTGGGCAGGCTGTACGCAACGGGCAAAATATTTCCCGACCTCAGCCAAGCCTGTCAATGTCACAATTGTGAATTGTGAAAATGCCATTGTGGAGATTCAGGCGTGATTTTATGACCGGCAGACTGGGTACGGGTTTGGCCACGTCTCTAGCCACGGCACTGTCCGCCCCGTTTGAATAGGCAAAGTGTCCGCACGTCTGCAGGCGGGATAGTGTATTTCGACTAACGGAGGAAGAAGAACAGCTCGAAGAACAGCGGGTAGAATATAAACGTTACCAATTGGTCGAGGGCTTCCCGCCTCTACGTCACGCTGGTAGTGGGGATAGGCGCTCGGCCAATCAGGAACCTTCTACCCGCTATTCTTCTCATCCGTTAGTCGAAATACGCTCGGAGCGGACACTGCGGACGCCTTGAGAATCTCCAGTGCAACTTCAAGAGGGGGAGGAGGAGGGTCTTTCTATGGCTTGCCTGCATACAAGGCTTTTTCATAGTGGATTGCCCACCTTGCAGGCGGTGTCTTAAAATCGCGCCTATGAAGATTGTATTTTTGGGGAGTTAGCCTAACTCCTCAGGACGCTGGACGCGCAAGGCGCCACTCATTCGACACTCAGCTCCGGCCCGAGACGTCTTTCCTAGAACACTGTCGAGTCGGAAACACACATGCCCGCACCACCTAGGCTGCCTAGACGAGAACCCACTCGGCCACTCCGAGCGAGAGGAACAGCGTTAGCAAGCAACAGAAAACAGATATATTCGTCACTT